TCGGGGCTGGTCGCGTCATGTCGCTTGATCATTTTTCGGAGCCAAGATGGCCCCAGGACGGGCCAAGAGGGCCCCGAATCGCCGAACGATCGCTCCAGAACGCTCAGGCTCCCAAGCGGGCCCCAAAGGGTCCAAATCTGGATTTCCCTTGGGTGTTACACGTTTGTGGCTTTGCCTTTTCGGCTTCCCGACGCTCCCAGACGGCCCTAGAGGTCCCCAAGACCGCCCCACGACGGCCCAAGAGGCCTTCGAGAGGGCCCGAAAACAGCCCAAGACGGCCCCAAGACGGCCCAAGAGGCGCCCAAGACGGCCCAAGAGGGCCCCGCGACAGCCCCAAAAAGGGGCCCAAGAGAGGGAACACGAACCGACCATCTCAGCCGTTCGCCTCAAGAGCCCCCCCCCAAGAGGTCACCATGAGGCCCAACAGATGTCCAAAGAGGTCCCAAAACAGTACCCCCCAAGAGGCGTCCAACGTGCCTCCAAGACGTCCCCAAGAGGCCTCCCACGAGATCCCAACGAACATCCAATAGGCTTCATACCCACAACGCAGGCACAGTGGCGGGATGGGCCGAAGGCCGTTACATACACAATATCAACACATACACACAGAAGTCCACACATATGCATGTACACATGCACTTACGTATAACTGTACACCTGCACATACACATGTAAGTATGTACGCACAAACGTGTATACGTGTATGTATATATGTATAGACAGGGAGAATGTTTTACATCTGTATGTATGGACATTAGGAATCGTCTCAAAGAGACATAGACACCGAGATGGAGAGGAATATCGAGAAAGAGAGCGAGAGAAAGAGAGAGAGAGAGAGCGTTAGAGGAGTGGAGAATCAGGAAGGGGGGAGTGGGGGAGGAAAGGAGGGCAGGGGACAGCATGGTAAAGGGGACAGGGAGCACAGACGAGGAACCAAGCGGATGTTGCAGACGCAAGAAGCGTGCAGGGGGGCGGGGGGACGGGGGAGGAGGAGCGCAAGAGGAGGAGAGGAGAAGGAGAGGAGGAGGAGGAGGATAAGGAGGAGGAGGAGGAGGACGCGGATAAGGATGTTGAGGAGGAATAGCAGGAGGAGGAGGGAGGAGGAGGAGGAGAAGGAGGATGAGGAGGAGGAGGAGGAGGAGGAGGAGGAGGAGAGGATGAGGAGAGGAGGAGGAGGAGGCGGAGACTAGGAGGACAGGATGAGGAGAGGATGAGGAGGAGGAGGAGGAGGAAGAGGAGGATGAGGAGAGAAGAGGTGAATAGGGCGGGGAGCGGAGGAGGGGAAGGAGAGGAGGAGGAAGAGGAGGAGGAAGGGGAGGACGCTGGAATGGAGGCGAAGGGGGGAGGAGGAGGGGGAGGAGGAGCGAGAGAAGCAGGAGAAGGACGGAGCCGGAGGCAGACTGCGTGACGGGACTGGAACACATGTAATGCATGGGGCGAGCGCGGAAGGAGAGGATGGCAAACGTGATCCTCATCCTTCACGTTCTCCCCTCCACTGTCTCTGTTGCCACCTCCACCCCATCTTCCCATTCCGACCACCTTCCTCCTCCGTCCTCCTTGCTGCGCCCTCCATCCTCAATCATCCTCCTGCTCCTCATCTGCCATCCTTGTCGGTACTCCTCCCCGCCTCGTCTACATCCATTTTTCTCGTCCTCCCACACTCATCCCACCTCCTGCCTCGTCCGTCCTCCTCCTCCTCCTCATCCTCCTCCTACCTGTCCCCGCCAGCTCCTTCTCATCCTTCCCCCCTCCTACCCGTCCTCGGTCCGCATCCTCCTTCTACTTCTCCTCCCGCCTACTCCCCCAACTCATCCTCAGCCTCCTCCTCCTCCTCTTCCTCCTCCTCTGTCTGTCCTCCTCCTCCGTCTCCACCTCAGTCTATCTCTTCTCAATCTCCGTATCCCTGATCCACCTATGTTATCTCACTGCTTTTCACAGTTGCCTCTTTACCACACCTCCAGCCACATCCCTCCCTCTACTCGACCTCATCCTCCTACTCCTCCTCTCCATTCCTCCTCCTCCTCCCCTCCCACCCTCCTCCCTCGACCCCGTCCATCCCAACTCCTCCTTCGGCATTCCCCTCGCATCCATCGTCCTCCTCCTCCTCCTCCTCCTCCTCCTCCTCCTCCTCCGTCCTTCTCCCACCTTCCTCTCCTCCCTCCTCCTTGTCATCCTTCAACAGCCGCCTCCCTCCCTCTCCCCTCCACCCGCCCTCGCTTGGATCTTCCTCCACCCCCCTTACCCCCCCAGGCGACTAGTAGTTTGGGCTATACAGCGGCCCTGCGTTGGTAAGATTGTTTCCGAGTCACGGCCCTCGTCTTCTATCCCCTCTCGTGTCTGAATCTCTCCCCCTCCCCCTCTGCATCGACAAATTATATCCCTCCCTCCCCTTCTCTTCAGCATCGTCTTGCGTGCATGTTTCTGAAACATGTGTGGCTGCGCGGGGGAGACTTACATAATGAAGCCGAGCACTGTGGACTACATACAAGCCGATTCCTCGAGTGGACGGGGGGGGCTGGAGGGAAGCGCCCAGGAAAACAATAGTTAGTAGAGTCTATACCCCACTTCCTGTTAACAAATCCTGCAGTGTAAATCAATTGATCTGTTCCTGGGGCCTTCCCCCCACAGCCCCCCCCCCTCCCTCAAAAAGCCGTACCAGCCGAATCCTGAGGAGTCGTTGCAACGGGGTCCTTACTGAACGAATCCTCACGGAGGGACTCCCACTGAAAAGATCGGTTCCCTGGGACAAGACGTCCTTACTGAAGGATTCCTGGAGTCCTTGCTAGGGGACTCCATGCTGAGGGAATCTTTACTCAAGAGCCCTTACTGGAGACTCCTTGCTGAACGGAGCTCATTCTGCAATGGTTCTCACTCGAAGTCCTTCTGATACACGCTGGAACGCTAGACACCTTTTATACAAAAAACAACCCGGCCAATCCAATCACGAGCAAACATGTTGCTGGTAAATCTTATGAGAAACAATTCCTGAACGACCCCCCTGGAATAATACTGACGGAAGGGACCGTTACCAAAAGGCACTCATACAAAGGAATCCCTACCCAAAGGTCCTTGTGCGTTCTCCTGCCACTGCCTCCTCCAAATATTCATCCCTCCTTCCTCCCTCGAAGAACAAGTTCCGCAAGCAAGAAAAACGGGGCCAATGTAACCAAGTGTAGTTTTTCTTTTCCACCCACCCCTCCTTCACCCGCAGCAGAAAAAACACGGTGGGATCGCGGCACAATGCTCTTCGAAGGACACCCCCCGGCCCCGAGAGAATGAAGGGAGGGGGGTAGGAGGGGAATCCTTACTAAAGGAATCCGTACGACAAGGATACGTGCTGAAGAAATGAGCATTATTCAGTCCTTACGAGGGAAACCTTGCTGAATGTATCCTAACCAAAACAAATCCTTACTCAGAATCTCTTCTTCAGGAATGCTTGAACCGTCAGCTGCCACTGGCCCTTTGGGGGGAGGTGGACAGGAGAGCTCCAGATGGAGAATAACAAGTGCCAGAGCATCTACTGGAACCCTCCTCGTACAATAAAAAGAAGCATGTCTTGGCGAACTAAAGAAAAATTGCTCAAGGAGTTTAGGCTAATTTGCGATCCCCAGTGGAGTTTCCCCGCGGCGGCGCGGAAGAATTTCACACGCGTCCCAAAAATAGGCGGAAAAACTAATCCCACGAAATCAACAATTACTACAAGATCATCTCAGTGCAAGAATTTGTTTCTTCCGCCGCGGCCGCGCCACCGCCGCACCTCGTCGTCTTGGTGTAGGAGTCTGCGGGGGCCGGGGGGACCATCGCAAGTCATGTGACGCTCTCACCTTCATTCGCCGTGGTAAGGTGAAAGGCCAAACTATTGTCACGGCGGTGTATTCTGTAGGAAGGAATCCTTAACAGAGGGACCGTCAATGAGGAACTACTACTTACGGAAGAATAGTACAAGAACCTCGGCCATGACAACTTGGCTGAATACATTCGCTTGAGCCAGATCAAAGCAAATGTATCTTTGTGTTGTTTCCACAGACATCGATCCTGGTTAAAGACCCCTTGGAAAAGGAATCCTTACTGAAGGACTCCGTACCCCAAGGAATCACCCCGCGATGATCTCCAATCTCGCTCCTTCTGTTAACGGCTGGAGATCATCAAGTTGACACCACTTAACGGCTGAAGATCATCAATTTTACACCACCAGAACAGAAAACAAACAAAACATCTAGACATCTAGAAACAACGAATGATATGGCCGCGAACGTGAGGAATCTTCCTTCTGGAATCTCAATCCGAGTTCGTGAATTAAGAATCCCTTGCGCAAGTATTCCTTCGGAAGAACTCATTCAGCAATTGTTCCTTCGGATTCCTTCTCTGGTGGGACCTCCCTCATAACGTTCCCTTCAATACAGATTCCTGTCGCAAGCATCCGTGCGACGAGAACTCCTTCAGTACTGATCCTCTGACCGAGGACTCCTGGAGTGATATTGCATTGGGGATTCCTCCCCAAGGATTCCATCAGCAATGCCTCAGGAATGACTCTTTCAGTAGGTATTCCTTCAGGAGGAGGAAGAAGCATCGTGATCGGAAGCAGCGAGGAAGAGAGGGGGAGGACGAGGGAAACCATCGTGAAGACTTTACACACACGCGGGGCCCGTTATGACCTCTAACCCTCCTTCCCCCCGTCCCCCTCGTCCCCCAAGAGGCGGCGGTCGGCGCGGACCCATCTCGCGCACGCAGTTCGCGCGCGCGGGCCGGTCGCCCGTCCCGACCGCCTACGGCCTCGGGCCAGCCGCGAGCGTGCGGGACCTTTCTTTTTGTTGGGGGGGAGGCGCGGGAGTGCAAGGCCTGAAGGCGAGAGGCGGGAAGACAGCACCCAGCTTCGCGCATCGCGCCCCGCGATGCGCGGCACGCGGTTCTCTTGGGCCTCGCGGCCCTGCGCCGCCCCCCTCGTCAGAAGGACATCTGTCATGGCCCGGGCCGCGCCGCGCGGAGGGCGGGGTATCTCTTCACGCCCCTTGCAGCAGGCCAGTAGACGTCACCATGCGGTGGGCTCCTGGCGGCGCGCACAAAAAAGGGGGGGGGGCGCGAGGGGCGCGGCCCTGCTAGGAGGAAGGCGTGGGGCTTCCTGGGAGGAGGAGGAGGGGGGCTTCCCAGCAAGGGCCAGGAAGGCCTGCCAACGGGAGCCTCCAAAATGGCCGCTTTTGGAGGCCGGGGGGGCATCCGAGAGGCCCCCATGCCTTCTCTGAATCTCCCCCGCCTTGGCTGAAGGCCGCCCCCCTCCCGCCAGCCTCTTTGAATGCGCCGCCACGGCCCAGGATGGGCTCTCTGGGTTTGCAGGTGAGTTTCCAGCGGCCCTCGGCGAAGCACTGGGCCACTACAGTCGGGGCGTTGACCTAAGGAACCCGAAATAAGGAACGAGGCCCCTTTTTCTCATAAGTTAAACATCGATGTCCCATGGAAAACCTCGGGAAGACCTGAGGCAAACTGTTAAACAATCAAGGAACACCGAGCCCCTCCCCAACGAAAAGGGTTCCTTCTTCAGCGCCCCGACTGTAGTCTCTGGCCGCTCAGGGCGCAAGAAGGCGTGGAGATCTTGGAACGCATGTGCCATGATGCTGGAGTGAGGGGGACGAGCGGGTCGTTCCCCATCTCTGGGTGCGTGCCCGGTGTGGGCTTCGGAGGTGACAACCATTGCTCTTGTTGTTGGTCTCCGATGTCGAAGGAATAGTTACTGTTGGTCACCCCTCTGGTGCCCACTGTGCTTTCAAATTGAAGTGCCCCTCCAACGGCTTGTACCCTGTTTACGAGGGGAAGTCTTGAGGCTCAAATTATGCTGCTGGCCCCCAGTTTACAGCAACAGAGGCTCCAGCCTGATACTTCCTTACGATGTATTTCAAATCCGCCGACCCCTTGTGGGTCTCGAGGCGTGTGAGATAGTTCCCCCCCCCATAATGCCCCCCCCCAGGGACCCCAAACCCGAGCGCATAACTGGGCTTTTTTGGGCCCGCAAGGGGCTCAAGACGGGCCCAGAAGGCTCCAAGAGGCCTCCAAGACGGCCAACGAGGGCCCCGAGACGCCAAACGAGCGCTCCAAGACGCCCAAGATGGCCCAAAGATGAGCCAAGAGGCCTCCAAGACGGCCCAAGAGGCCTCCAAGAGCAGTCCTCCGCAGGCCCGACGAGCTGAAAATCGTCAAATTCCCATGGGAAAGCGTACATTTTGATCATATACGACTTGTCGGCCTCCACGGCGTTGACGATGGCCCAAAAGCACCCCAAAACCGCCCCAAGACGTCCCAAGAGGCCCCCAAGAGGCGCTCAAGTCGGCCCAGGAGGGCGCCAAGACGCCCCAAGAGGCCCTCAAGACGGCCCAAGAGGGCCCCAAAACGGCCCCAACAAGGGCCCAAGAGGAGGAGCCCGAACCGACAATCCGAGCCTTCCGCCCCAAGTCGGCAGGCCCCAAAAGGCCCCCAAGAGGGCCCCAAGCGGCCCCAAAAGCCCCCCCGAAGGCCCCCAAACGGTCCCAAAACGGACCCCCAAGAGGCGTCCAACCTGTCTCCAAGAGTCCTGCGAGAAGCCCCCCAAGAGATCCCAGCGGTCACCGCACAAGCCTCACACCAACAACCCAGGCACGACGGCGGCACTGTGCTTGCACACTACATCAAACGAAGTCGCGCTTCCGAGGACACGATGGCTCCCAAACGGCCCAGGGTGCCTCCCAGGCAGCTCAAGATAGTTCCAACATGGCCCAAGATGGCATCGAGATGGCCTCAAAGGGCTTCAATATCGCCCACGACGTCTCCAAGATGACCCTCAGGACATCTGAAAGAGGCGCAAGTTACGCAGTTCATTACATGTCCATCGTTTTTTTTTTTTTTTTTTTTTTTTGAAAATATTTGCAATCGTTGCCTTTCCCGGCCTCACTGCTTTCCAGAGGCCCCCGAGAGGCGTGCTCAGAGCTTCGTCTATGTGTCCCCGTCTTCCCCCCTCTCCCCGTCCTCATCCTCCACCTCCTCCTCCCCTGCTCCCCCTCTTCCTCCCCCGCCTCATCCTCATCCTCCATGCTTCTTCTCCACCCATTCTCCGCCTTACTCCCCCTCCCTCTCCCCCTCCCCCCGCCCCTCCCCAGCACGCGCGCCCGATTGGGCATCATTTGCAAGTCTTGCATTTCAAGGTGCCCTTTTCTTGCATCGCGCGCGAAATTGGCAGGGTTCACGGAGAACGCCGACTTCGGTAGTCTTCTCTTGCACCCGCCGCTGCACTGATACGACTGGCAACTGCGGGCTGTGAACCCGAGTTCCTGGCAGCCTCCGCACACCACTTTGGTTTATTTCGCCCTTTGATGTTTTGTTCCAGCGTATGCTTCTTGCTTACTGCTGTAACAACAACTACGGCTGCTACTACTACTACTACTACTACTACTACTACCACTACCTACTACTACTACTACTACTACTACTACTACTACTACTACTACTACTACTACTACTACTACTACTACTGGTACTAGTACTAGTACTACTACTAGTACTAGTACTAGTACTAGTACTAGTACCAGTACTAGTACTACTACTACTACTACTACTACTACTACTACTACTTCTACTACTACTACTACTACCACTACTACTACCACTACTACCACTACTACTACTACTTCTTCTAGAACTACTACTGTTACTACTTCTACTACTACTACGACGACTACTACGACTACTACGACTACTACGACTACTACTACTACTACTACTACTACTGCTACTACTACTACTACTACTACTACGACTACGACTACGACTACGACTACGACTGCGACTACGACTAGGACGACGACGACGACGACGACTACTACTCCTACTACTTCTACTCCTACTACTACTACTACGACTACTACTGCTACTACTACGACTACGACTACGACTACGACTACGACTACGACGACTACTACTACTACTACTACTACTACTACTACTACTACTACTACTACTACTACTACGACTACTAGTACTACTATTACTACTACTACTACTACTACTACTACTACTACTACTACTACTACTACTACTACTACTACTACTACTACTACTACTACTACTACTACTACTACTACTACTACTACTACTACTACTACTACTACTACTACTACTACTACTACTACTACTACTACTACTACTACTACTACTACTACTACTACTACTACTACTACTACGACTACTACTACGACTACTACTACGACGACTACTACTACTACTACTACTACTACTACTACTACTACTACTACTACTACTACTACTACGGCCACTAGATCGCTAGTCCTGCTCGCATAATCACAATGACCATTTACATCGACCGACCCGTCGTCGGCCTCTAGGCGTGCGAGAATCTCCGCCCCCATAAGCCACAACGGACAAAAGGACTACCCCCGCAGGTCCCGGACGGACCTCATTAGCAAGATCGAACCACACACACCACTGCATAGAAAAGACGGGGTTACACGCATTATCCTCCTCCTCCTCTTCTTCCTCACGTGGGGGGGGAGGAGGACAAGGAAGAGTAGGATAATAATGTCGGCGGAAGAGAAAGAGGAGGAGGCGGACGAGATGCATCCTATCCGTTAGGAAAATCGGCCCTGGGGCTGTAGACGTTCTCCTTGCGCCAGACAGGACCAACGAAAATCGAAGGGGCGTGAAGACGATATCCACTCCAAATGAATCCCTGGACCCCTACCAGAGCCCGCTTGGCGCCGTTTCCTCATCCTCACCTTCCTCCATCTATTTATCTTCCCGCTCCTCTGCCTCATCCCCCACAGAGGCACCAAGGACCCCCCAAGAGCCCCTGGGGAAGGGAGATAATTTTTTTTTTTTTTTTTTTTTTTTTTTTTTTAAAAAAAAAAAAAAAAAAAAAAAAAAAAAAAAAAAAAAAAAAAAAAAAACTCCGACGGAAGAACCCCGCATACGAATCCTCTGGGCGAATCTGGAAAAAAAACATCACCGTCGTCCTCGTGGTTGGTGAGGCGTCCTGGCTGTCTCTTCTGCGTATATTTCCTGTCGCCTTGGCGCGGGCCCCCCTTCCACTCCTTACGTTGTCCCCATCCTCGCCCCCCTGTTTGTTCCGCGCCCCGCCACCTCCTCCCCTTCCTGTTGCATGAGCGCGCATGTCGATGTTCCTCGGCACCGTCGCCGCCACGGCCAGCACAGGCGCGTTCTCTACTGGTCACGTCGCGCAGCCGTTGGGACAACCCCGCGGGCCAGGCTGTCGGGACAACCCCGCGAGCCGCTGGCGCGCAAGACCGAGCCGTTGGGACAACCCCGCGGGCTTCGAGCGAGGCGCAGCCGCGCTCAGGCGGAAGGCAGCACGAAACCCAGCTCTGCCGCGAGCTGCTTCGCCTCCGCCCTGGACAAAACCGCCTGAGGCTTCCTCCAAATTCAGGCTCGACGAGCCCAAAAGTGACGACAGTTACAGAATTCCGATGACCCGCTCGGATTACCAACATGATCTGCGGGCCCCATCGGGAGGGGGCTCCCGCCTAAGCTTTCCTCACATTTCACTCACACACGAGGCTCCCGCCTGAGACTTCCTCCAAATTCAGGCTTGAGGAGCCCAAAAGTGACGACAGTTACAGGATTCCGATGACCCGCTCGGATTGCCAACATGATCTGCGGGCCACATAGGGGGGGAGCTCCCGCCTGAGACTTCCTCCCAATTCACTCACAGACGAGGCTCCCGCCTGAGACCTCCTCCATTTCAGGCCTGGGGAGCTCAAAAGTGACGACAGTTACAGAATTCCGATGACCCGCTCGGATTACCAACATGGTCTGCGGGTCCCATAGGGAGGGGGCTCCCGCCTGAGACTTCCTCACATTTCACTCACACACGAGGCTCCCGCCTGAGACTTCCTCCAAATTCAGGCTTGAGGAGCCCAAAAGTGACGACAGTTACGGGATCCCGATGACCCGCTCGGATTACCAACATGATCCGCGGGCCCCATAGGGAGGGAGCTCCCGCCTGAGACTTCCTCCCAATTCACTCACAGACGAGGCTCCCGCCTGAGACTT